TCTGAGGCATTTATCTCCAATTAACCAACAGAAAACTGAAAGTGGTGCTGTGGCTCAAAGTGGTAGAGTGCTAGCCTTAAGCAAAAAATGCTCAGGGACAGTGCCCAGGCCCAGAGTTTAAGCCCTAGGAATAACAAAAAACAAAAACAAACAAAAAAAAAACCTTACCTAATGAAGATTTCTTTCTCTCTTCTTCTCTTTCTTTCTTTCCTTTTCCTTTGTGTGTATATGTGTGTGCGTGTATGTGTGTGTGTGCGTGTGTGTGTGTGTGTGTGTGTGTGTGTGTGTGTGTGTGTGCTGGTATTGGGTGTGAACTCAGGGCAAGTATGCTCTTGCTTAACATTTTTGCTCAAGGCTAGCACTGTACCACTTGAGCTATAGTTCCACTCCCAGCTTTCCCCTGGCTAGTTGGAGATAAGAATATTACAGACTTCCATGCCTGGACTGGCTTTGAACCAGGATCCTCAGGTCTCAGCCTTCTGAGTAGCTAGGATTACAGACATAAGTCATTAATGTCTGACTTTTTTTTTTTTACTTCTTCTCATGAAATAGAAAGCTCCTTCATGAAATACAAATCAACGTGCTAATGGTGGAAACTGCATCCTAGTCTAGGGCGCAGTTCTGTGGTAAAGCACATTCTTAGCATGCGTGAGATCCTAGCAAAACCACAACAAAACTTCCTATTCCTCCTTAAATAAGAATCACCATGACCACCACCATTATATGTCAGACATTCTGCTCAAAGCATGTTACTCCAGGTGACAGCACTGTAGTTGTGGGGGAGATGGGTGGGGGGAGAAGAGGGAGTTGTTTGCTTGTTTGTCAGTCATGGGGTTTGAACTCAGGGCCTGGGCACTGTCCCTGAGCTCTTTGGCTCAAGGCTAACACTCTACCACTTTGAGCCACAGCGCCACTTCTAGTTTTCTGGTGGTTAATTGGAGATGAGTCTCATGGACTTTTCTGCTCAGGCTGGCTTTGAACTGTGGTCCTCAGATCTCAGCCTCCTGAGTAGCTAGGATCACAAGCTGAGCCACCAGCAACTAGCTTAATGTCTCCCAAAGTGCATATGTTAAAAGACTCAGTCCTCAGACTGGAGTTCTTGGGAGGAGGTAGAAACTTGGAGAGGTAAGGCCTGGTAGGAAGTCTCTAGGTCACTGGCAGTATGATCTTCTAGGAGATAGTAGGGCATATATAGCAGCTCTCTGTTCTCTATTGTGCTCTCTCAATTTGGATATGATGTACTTCCATCACAGGCCCAAAGCAACGGGGCCAACTGACCATGGGCTGAAAGTTCTAATGAGTCAGAATAAACATTTTCTCTCTATAAGTTGTCTCAGGTATTTTATTACAGTAATAGGAAGCTGACATAATGAGTCTTTGTGGAAACTGAGCATAGGAATTAAAAGATTTTTTATTATAGGCATCGT